TGCATAATACTTATCTCCCCCTTTTTGACACACACAAGAACACCATTTTATTATTTATACAGATCACTTTGTTTTCCTCAGCACATAATTTCAATTCCAATTCATTAATGTCAAAGCATAAAAGAAGCAACCGCACATAAAGCAACAAAAGTTTGCCAAACGCAGAAGATAACAGCTGATAATTAAGGAAGTCCCATTATTTCCTGGCAAAGGAGCCTGTGTTTTCAGAGACACATTCTTAAAGGGCCTCTCTTTAGTGTAGCTGCATAATTTGCATGAACACTATTTGCACAAATAAATAAAGGTTTTCAATATGAATAAAAGGAGGCTTTAATGTTCCCATAATTTTTGCACAATGCCAACCCCATGCCCCTTCTTGTTCACACAGCCCAGCCTTGTGACGGGTTCATAAATGTATATGCTAACAAAGTTCAGATCTTTTGCCCACTCTAGCAAACCTCTGGGGGAGTGGACAAAAGATCTGGGCTTTGTTAGTATATACCTGCCCCCACTCACACACCCTCAATCTCACTTCATACTGATATCACTGCAGAAAAAAGACATAGTACTGATGAAACTACACATAAATCTTCTACCCCAGAATAAACCCTCCATCTCTTTCTTCCCAGGCTCACCTCTGCCTCCTGCCCCGTGAGTCTTTCACAGCATGGTCTGCTCACTGGGCAAGTCCAGCCCAAACAGACTTTTGCACGTTGTGTTTTGTCACATTACTATTTGCCAGCAACTGCCAGGCATGCAAGGCCAATGGCAAGTCTCTTGGGTTTTGTATTTTCCCCATGCTCTTCCCTTCAGCTGTTTCCAAATGTTGTTCAGCCAAGACCAAGCATCTATTCTACACTACAGTCTTATACTGAGATGAAAATTTGGCAGCATGTGGAAAGACACATGTTACTTGGATCAAAGCTGAAATAGGCTATCCAGCTTTGTGCTTCCTAGCACTTGAATTGTGTATATCCACCCCTGCAGCACAGCTTGGCTTTGGTTTGGTTGATGAGGAACTCAGAGACAAATTAGATCCCTGTTCTTCTGAAGCCTGATGTCATTACCTACTGGTTTTCAGTCGTGATCCATGGTGAAGGCCTGTGGTGGATAGTTGTTGCCTCATTCATGGAGATTTGATCAAAGATGATGTTATTAAAATGACAAATCATCAGCAGAAGGAAAGATGTTTCACTGGCAGAGATCTCTGAGAAACCACTGTTTGAAGTGAAACTGTTTAGTTGTGGCAAAGCCCCAAAAAGTCAGGATTATACCTCACGTGAGGGCTGTTGACAATCCCCACAATACTGCTACAGCACTTCCCCAGTCACCAAGAGGTGATAAATGATACAGGTTTTTTGTGCATACAAAAAAAAAAAAAGTGTTTCTTATTGAAAAAGATTTTTAAACAAGATACTTTCTACAGAAAAATTGTGAGCAAGAGCAAATTTTCCATTCCAGTATGATTTTTAAAGGCAAGTCTTCCATTATGACTATTGCTGAAAGAAAAATAAATTTATTTCATGGCAAGACTTGGCCTGAGTTCTAGATCCTCTTCACATTTAAACATCATTGCTACAGCAGCAAAACTCCCCAAGGAGTTTGTGCAGAGCTTCAAAACCCTTCTAGGTCTGTGAGACTCATAGTCACTGCATCCTCAAGTAGTTGCAACAGAGAGCGTGTCAGAAATGAACTCCTAGTCTGCATAAGGCTACTTAAAAACTGCTTGTCTTAGATCGAGGTACCATATCACCTAATATTTTCAAGAACCAGACTTGGTCTGGGAATCTGGCAAGGTGGAGGAAGGAGGGTGGTACATCTTCACCCAGCACAGGTTTGTATTGCGAGAGCAGCAAGTTCTTACAAGGCTTTGTCAATTGTGAACCCAACAGAACCAGAAGCTGAGGTTCATCTGCTGCAGAGCAGGGCTAACTCCGTGCTGCTACCACTGGAGCTCTTTTGATGTAAACCTGTCCTTTGAAGGTACTGTCTCCTAGTGAAGCTTCCTGTTTGTTAACTCAGCTCTGCCCACTCTTAATTCAGGGCTGTGGCTTCATGGCTGCTTTAAGTTCTCTGATTGCAACTGGTGCCCATGACATGGTGTCTTTGGTGTGATGGTGGCAAAGTTGATGCTGTTACTACTCTGGTGGAAATGACTGTGTGGTACCACAAGTAGCTCACTTGATGTGGAATAAGAGTGCAGTGGAGGAAAACCCCATTTACACTGGCATATTGCTAGGAAAAGGCATGGGATGGTCACTAAATGTGCAGCCCAGAAGCTGGAACATGGGGCAGCTCTGACAGTTTCCTTAATAAATGTGTTTATGGCAGGCAGAAGGCGGTCATTGCAGGGAGTTCCCGTCTCAGCAAACTTGGCTCAATCAGGAAAGAGTTCTGGGCAGCTCAGCTTTCTCTCAGCGATGTGAGGGGCTCCCATCTCTGCCTGGCACTGTGGCGACACGGTGTGTTAATGATGTCAGTGAGCAATTGCACTTACACAGATAACACAATTTAACAAATCTCTCCACCAGAAATGCTGCTGCCCTCGGATATTCAGCTGCTTAATGTGTTTCCTTAGGAACAGAGAGTAGGCGGTTGTGCTAAATTCCCACTCCTGAGCTGTAAGAGAAAATCCTATCCACCCACCCAAAAGCTAAGGTTTGGATTAATCTATGACAACAACTCTTTCCTGTTCATTTCCTGTTGAGCAGCAGCCTAAATACCCTGACCCAAAGGCAGAAAAGAATGCAAATGATTACTTCCCCTATTACATGGGGAAATACAAAGAGGACAAAAGGTGAATTTCAGCCCTGTGCTGAAGGTCAGGAGACAGCCAGCATACGAAAATTGTCTCTGAGTCAGGATGATTCAGTCAATAAGGTAAACAGCAAATTCCTCACAAGGGAGAAAGAAAAACACCAGCTATTTTGTTTCCTGATTAACTGAGTTATTCAGTTAACTACATCAGATGTAGTCATGCATTCTGTGCTTTCGGTACTCCTTCCTACCCTACCACTACACAAAACTGCTGTAGATCCAGTCTGCAGCTGATGAGATTACTGACACATGAATTCATGTACCAATTATGAAACTAGAAGTCAAGCACTCTTGCTCTCTGACTTCTACACTGATATCTATGATCCTGGGAAATTTGTTTTCATAATTACAGGGCTGGAATATTTATTCATCTGTCAGAGGAACAGAGTGTATTAAAAACTGAATATAACTGCTCCTGTATTTTTTGGTACACAAAAAGTTTTCCCAACATGAGTAGGAGACATTGTGATCAAAATTCGTTCCATATGTAAAAATAAGAAGTGCTGTTTACAGATAACATACAAAACCTGTTATATTGACATCCATAGATACATGTTTATCCTTGGCAATTGTCAGAACAGTGCAAAAGTTGCTCCCACTGTATTATTTTATTCAAGACACTCCTTTTAAGCTCATTGCGTTCTGCCACATTATACACGTTACATGAAATCAGCTATTCTCCAAATGGAATGACAAATTTTGCTATATATACACCATTTCCCATTGTGTTCATACTTTTCCTACCTAGTCTCAACAGACTTCCTTAAAAAAATCTTGTAACTTAGTTACTCTTTCAGCTGGCCCATGGTGAGTCCTGCTACCAGAAAGACAATTAGCCTAATTTTGATGTTGTTTCTGTTGCCCATCCACCACACCCTAAAAAAAATCACACTAATTTCTAATGATCATGGAAACAAGTACCTGAGTATTTTCACAAGCAGTTTCACCTCAACATGAGGAGGCACTTCTTTACACTCAGAGTGGCAGAGCACTGGAACAGGCTGCCCAGGGAGGTTTTGGAGTCTCCCTCTCCGGAGACCTTCAAAACCCACCTGGACATGTTCCTGTGTCACCTGCTCTAGGTGACCCTGCCTCGGCAGGGGGTTGGACTGGAGGATCTCCAGAGGTCCCTTCCAACCCTAACAATTCTGTGATTCTGTGAGAGCACTTTTGATATATGCTAGTTAACAGGAATTACAATTCCAGCTGTTTCACTTCTACTCATCCACAACACATGCATGGTGCCACTATGCATGACCTTCTGGACCAGGGAAAGATAGGCTGTTGAGTCAACAGCTTTAAACGCAGATTTAAGTAGGTGATGATGGCTTTGGTTTCAACAGTAGGGCACTTGACTGACCTTTGGAAGGTAAAGTGCACAAAAAAACCATAGTTTTGTTACAGAAAGATTAGTTCCTCATTCAGCAAAAACTACATTAAAGACTATAGGAATATGCTGTATGTATTATGGCATTTGATGAATTTAGATATAGAGTGGCAGAAAGCATTCGCGTGAATGTGACAAATTAGTAAGTGGTATAGACGTTGGTTCAACATGTTTGCCTGTCGAAGGTTAAGAGCCACAAATTTTGCTAGTACAGGACTGGCGTTTCACGAGTGTGAACAGGCTGATGACCTCCACAGCCAAGAAAAGCTCCAGCAACTTCTTTGCCTGGGAGTGAAATGACACTAACAGAGAACTCGCATCTATGTGTCTTATAAACTCTGCGGGTTCCTATCCATGCGTGTGGAGTCACGAACACGTGCTAGTCCGCAGGTTCATTCTCATACATGGGCTGACGCCACGAAGCTTCCAGGGCCCGCCGGGCTGGCGAGTACCACGGGAGAGTGTGTCAGAGCTCCCCCGTCCTGCGCCACGGCCACGGCACAGGCCAGACGCTGCCACCTCGTGGGGATCGGCCTCCGCAGAGCAGTAAAAGGGCTGGCTAAGCCCGCTGTGCCGAGAGGTGCCCCTGACGGGCAGGACAGGGACACGGACGAGCACACGGACGAGCACACGGACGGACACCCGGACCCGCGTAGGGCGCTCCCCCCACACGAGGCGCCCGCCGTCTTGCGCCAACCGCGATTGGTTGGGGCCCGGCGTAGCCCGGCATTCTGGCCAATGAGAGAGGCCCGCGGCAGCGCCGAGCCAATGGGCAGCGCCGCCTTTGCCGTGGCGTGTGAGAGGTCGGGGGTGAGAGAGCGGCGCCCCCGGAACGGGAAGCGGGAGGGGAGTTGCTTCCCATCCCATCCCATCTCATCCCATCCCCTGCCGTTGTCCCGCGGAGCGCACGAGGGGTTCCCGCGTGGGCCTGCGCTTCTCCCGACATGGTAAAGGCAGCGGGGGGTGCGCGGCAGGGCGGCGGGAGGGGCGGGAGCCGGGAGGCGCTGACCATGTGCTTCCCCTGCAGAGCCTGCCCCTGAACCCCAAGCCGTTCCTGAACGGGCTGACGGGGAAGCCGGTGATGGTGAAGCTGAAGTGGGGAATGGAGTACAAGGGCTACCTCGTCTCCGTGGACGGCTACATGAACATGCAGGTGAGTGCCGGGGTATCCCCTGTGAGGTGCTTCGGGCGGGGGTGGCGCCAGGGCTCGGCCCTGGGGCGGCGAAATGAGAACAGGTTGCCAATCAGAACAGGTTGCCCGGTGAAGTTGTGGATACCTCATCCCTGGAAGTGCTCAAGTCCAAGTTGGACGGGGCTTTGAGCAGCCTGGTCTAGTGAGAGGTGCCCCTGCCTGCGGCAAGGCAGTGGAACGCCGTGATCTGTGGGGTCCCTTCCCGCCCAAACCCTTCTGTGGTGCAGGGACTGGCGGTGCCTCGGCGGGATTGCGGGGCCGCTCGGCTGCCCCAGCCGCTGTAGTGAGCACTGGGCTGGGGCGGGGCCGATGTGTGCTTTGTGAAGCTGCTTTTATTGCGGTCTCATTTTTGCTCGTTTCCCTCTCAAGCTCGCAAACACAGAGGAATACATAGACGGTGCGTTGTCTGGACACCTGGGTGAAGTTTTGATAAGGTAATTGGGGTATTTATTTATGATGGAGGCAGGCTCTTTCTAAATCTTCTTACCACTTGTATTAAAACTTGTATGGGTGGGTGTTATATTTCTTGTCTAACTAAGAGGCTAAGTGTAGGTCTTACAGTAGGGCTATGAATGTGTGTCATTTATGTTGAGGTCCCTTCTGAGGGGAGGAAAAATGGAACTTTTGAATATATTTCAAAAAGTATTTACTATCCCTTTTTTGGTGGGTAAAGCTTTAGTTTTCTATGTTACTGTGTATCTGTTAATCCTTTGGCGTTGTACACTAGTGCGTTGCACCTGGAAACATTTCACATGCTTGGAAGTTAAACTTGACCATAACTGCTAACCCAGAAGTAAAAATTTTTTTGCACAGCGTTGTCAACCAGTTACTACTTTTATAAGGGTTCACAGTTGTAATGAACTTTGTGGAAAACCTGTACAAGGCCAACAGCAGCAATTTGTTATGCAGAATTTGGCTGCTGCCAGGCTACACACAAGCCAGAAAATGCTTAAAGCATCTTATGTTGGGAAAATGATAACATTTACAGCTAAGAACTAATAGAACTCTTGGTTCTATTTACAGGTGCAATAATGTTTTGTACATCAGAGGTGTGGAAGAAGAGGAAGAAGATGGAGAAATGAGAGAATAGATGTTTTGTATTTCTGGAAATAAACTTTTTTTTTCTTTCTGTTTTTCATACTTTTGTAATAAGGTGTTTAAATTTTTCCCATTGTGTTTTAATATGGGGGAAGTTAGCCCTTTAGTCTTATATTGGTGTCTGAAAAGCTAATGCTGGAGGAGCAACAGGTAATTATTTCATTTTAAAGCTGAAAATATTAAAATGAAAAGCAAGTATTTAAAAAATACCAGTTATCTTCCCATCTGAAATACAGGAAAACGTGTAAGTTCCTATATTTTACAGTATGTATGCAGTGACTATTTAAATACACTTCATCTTTGAACCTGTTTATAAACCATTTGGAAATAGCTGGGAAGATTTCACTTCAGGTGAGATGTAGAGATCTGTTGTACCCCAGTGTCTCTCAGAAATATTCCACTGCCTTGAGTCACAAAACTTGAAGTGTGGCTGTACAGTCATTAAGGAAGGACAAATTTGTATCAGCTTAGTAGCCAACAGCCACACAAACAAAACTCTTGGCAGCTATAAAGGTCAGTAGACTTCAAACTGATAAAGACAACAGACTGCAAGATGGGAGTGTGCTTTGTGACTCTGCTGAAAAATGGAGGTGATACTGTTCTCCTGGGGGGTTCAGAAGTAAGAGAAGACATTCTGTTTAAAAGTAGCTGTAGAAGAGAAGCTGCATGTGGAATGCTGATCTCCAGGCCTGCCTGCTGGGATTGCACTGGTTGTGTGAACTGGGGGGAAAACACCAGCCTGTCAGGATAGATCCTGCAGAGAAATACTTCCCTGTTTGTTTCTCATGTTGGAAGTCATCCCTGTAGCTATGCACGTGTTCCTTTAATATTTGCATCTGTAAGTTGCCGTAAAGAGTGACAAATCATTTTGGATGTACTTGTGAAGGTCTTTCATTACATAAACCAGGCCCTTCTTTTTGGCAGCTTGAGGGCTTACTTCCCAGCTCTGCTACAATCCCACTGGGAAAGGGAAAAGAGCTATTTAAAATAACATCAGTAGTATCACAAGGCTAGATAAGTACTTTTAAACTGGCAGTGAGCAACAACTAAATGTGTTCTTGGAACAGTTTTGGTGGCAGGAATGAGAGGCAAAAAAGTGTCATGACTGATTTGTGATACAGCACAGCCTGTTAATGACTGCGTGATGCAGAACAGTGTCCTTCCTCTGCTGCCATCAATAGTTACAGTGGTATCAGTATCGGAGGAGGAAAAGCTGTGACTGTCATCTTAGTATGTAATCAATTCCTTGTCTGGAATGGGCCAGCACTGACCTGACAGCTGCTCCTCCACATGAGGTGGAAGTGGGGCTGGAGGTGAGTTTAACATGTATGATCTTTGCACTGGATCAGCAGGCAGCACCATTACTGTGACAACTTACCAAGTGTTTTAGTCTTTCAGCTTTTCAGAATAACTGGGAAGGCTTAGCTTATGCTAAATCACTTTTATGTGTATAGATGAATGTGACTGGTTCCTCAAGTGAACAGAGGCATACCTGTAGAAAGATGTCTGGAGTTGTGCTGTACAGCTAGAATGCTTAATTCTTGTCATGAGGGTAAAGAAAATGGTTTTGCCTTGCAGAGAGCTGAAGTCCTCCTGTGATTCATAGCACTTCCTGTGATTTCCTATGGGGTGAGAATTCTTCAGTATAGAACACTGCTACTTGTTGGACAAATGCTAGTTTTTGTGCTAGGAAAATTCTTCACACAAGGAAGATCCAGTAGCAGTTTAAAATGAGTAGAAACGTTTTTTAAAAACTGGCAGCACAAAAGAAGCAAGGGGGCATTTTGTCTGTGTCCTTAACATGGCAGATACTTCCTAACTTAAAAACAGGCTGCTGATATTCCAGGACAGACCTGTACCCATCATCTGGAAAGTAGCCACATCTTTTCCGTTTGTTTTTGTGAGGTGCTGTTGAGAAATGAATTAAAGTACTGAGACATTTATTATGACCTTTCAAAAGACATACATAATGTATACTATATCTAGATGAAACCATTATCTAGAAGAAAAAAAAAGTGAAAATCTACATTAAGATGAATAATAGGAAAGAAAACTCGACTTACCTTTTGCAAAAGCAAGAACCCACTCAGAACTAAGAAAACAAAGATATTTTTCTCCTGTAGTCTCTCTCCCTATTTTAAAGACTGAGATAAGCTGCTTTATAGTCTTGAGTTTTCACTCTCAGCGAAACCATGCTCCTTTCACATAGTTTCAGATTCTTTGGGCATTTTTTGTTACGCGTGTTTTTCTGATGGGTGCATTCCTTAGACTTCAGACTCAGAAAGACTGTTTTATTTTTGGTCCTAAATGGTATGAAATGAATTGCAGTGCAGGTGAAGGTAAGGTACTCTGAATAAATTGAAGTAATTAGAGCTGGTCCTTAGTTGGTATGAAGTAAGCCCCATGAATACAAACAGACTTTTCATCACTTCTGGAGCAAGTCCGAAAGGTAAAAGAACTGCAAACATTCACTTATGTGTATATTAAAGACACAAATAAAAGAGCTCATAATTTTACTTTTTAAATATAAGGTACCTAGAGTAACTAAAAAAAAAATGCTTTCATGTGATAAAGTTGTTCAAATTGTTTATAGGATAAAAGAAGTTGAAGACAAAGTAGCAGCACACTCCATCAGCAAAAAATTATACCCTGCAAAACCACTTACTTAATATGGTAAAAAGTTACTTAGTCAAAAAGAGCCTGGAAAGACTTACAGTAAGATATGACACCACATGTAGTTTTGAGCTTATTTTTTGTGTTACTCATTTGAATATAGGTTGGTTGCTGTTTATTTTTTTACTTGGAAACTTTCCCATTCCTAAGAATACCCAAAAGGAGAACAAAACCTAGCTGAGAAGACCCTAAATCCTTATCATTGCTAAGAGACAAAATGCTGTAAACTCCAATTCTGTATTGTGCAGGTCACTGACTGCAAAGAATGACAAGCTTTGGCCATAAGGCCAGATGCTGGAATTGTACCAGTTCCTATGTCTGACAGGACACAAGCGCACACAAGCTCTCCTTCTCTTAGCTGCAGTTTTTGTGAAAAGGAAACCTAGGCACCTAAGTTGGCAAGGTTACACTGCTCAGGGAAAACCAAATTGTCTCCTCTGGGGCAGATTGTGGTGTTCCCCAAAAAGGTTGACCCCATGTCACCAGAGGGTTATGGAATTTGCCAAAGGCAGAATTTGGGAACAGAGGGAGGATTCAGGAAGCTCGTCTGAGCAAATGCAATGTTTCTATGGTTTGATAGATGCAAGGTTTTTCTGTGTGGAAAAAAAAATGCAAAGTTCACTTTTACTTTTGCAAAACTATGCAAAAAATATTTGTAAATGTGATGTTAATCTGATATGAGGGAAGCCAAGCGTACATAACAAATTTGCAATTTAGTTTGGATCTATTCCACATTTGCAAGTCAGTTTCATTCGTGTGATGCAATTTCTATGTTTGATCCTGAGAGTCTAGTAACCTCTGCTGCTTTTGTAAACAGGGAAATATTCAGTAAATTCCACTAACAATTAGCTTTTGTTAAGGTATGCACAGCGTCTCCTTTCAGGACATTTCATCATGCTATATGTTTTATTGTAAAGGACTATTTAGCAGAAGAAAAAACTAACACAAATTTAAGGAAAATTTAGCTAATATTTAGTCTAAGACTCATATTTAACTTTGGCCCTTTTGAAAAAATTACATGTTGCTTACAAGAACAAACATTCTAATGTAACTGACAATGTATTTGAAAAGGTGTTCTTGAGGAATAAGTGCATCATAGTGTCACATGAAGCACCAGTGAGAAGAGATGAAATCTCTTAATAACCTGATACTGAACTTTTTTATTTATCTCTACTTTCACGGGGTTTTTTTTATTTTTTTTACTTCTCATTATTATCATGTACTATTGAAAATGCCACATTTTAAAATTATTTTCAAAAAGCACTTTCACTGGAACATTAAGGTGATTTAAAAGCTCTAAGTTTAGAAATTTAAGCCAGATTTTTCTAGCACCCTACAGTCCTCTGTTTACATCCAATGAATTCTGCCAATTAAAAAAATACAACCCAGTACTTAGAATCTTTACCTCTTGAATAAAACTAGAATTTCCTGAGGATGCAACCTAGAAACTGCTCCTGTACTAACTTCTCTGAGTAATAGTCTTAAAAATAGATCAGGCACAGCATGTCAGAAACCACTGACTGCAGTGGATTAACCTTTTTCTTCATAGGCTGGCCTATTGCAGAGAAAAATCTTCACCAGAAAAGAACCAGGGCATACACAAGCACAGCTGTAAGTTTTCTGCAAGCAGAATATAAGTCCTAAAATGAAATACGCTCCTATGTTACTAAGCATAAACTCTTCACCTATTCTAAGGATTTAAATTAGAATCTGCCCTTGGCTCTTGCAAGGTTCCTCTTTCATTTCTGCTTTCAAACATATTGTGAAACTGCTGGGGAAAATCAGCAGCAACTCCTGAAAGCAGTAAAGCACTCTCTACCAGCTCTCTTGTCAATGTTCTGCATGCCCAGTGAGAGTTTAGGAGGAAGACAAGGGTTATGTTGTGGTGCAGTATTGAGCTGGTGGAGAAGCATCACAAGGTAACACCCAACACGTAGTTTTACTCACTTTTCAGTTTTGATATTTAATACAAATTACTGTGCTTTAGCTGCATTTTTTGCCTTATTTGCAAACGAGACTTCACCAGAAAGGTTCATTTGAAGAGCTAACATATACATCTTTTTCTACTGGACAGGAAAATGTATATGCACACGGATGTGTTATAAGCATTTTAAACTGATCCTCTTTCTAAAAGAAAAGAAGGTTTCTAAACAAGATTGCCACCGCCAGAAAGGTGTTTGAGGGGCCACTTGTTTAGAAAGACACTTCACTTGCCAGCTGGGAATTACTGGAGCCCTATAGACTCTATGAATATTTGAAGAGAGAAGAAAACAAAAAATCCATGTTGAGAGTAAATATTTGCTCCACGGTTCTTCCATCCCTGATTCTGTAGGGGGCAGCAGAATTTCGATCTCGGAATCGGATAAATT